AAAAAAAAGCAACAAGAAACAAATTTACTTCACGGAAAAAAAAGAACCCTGGAGTGGTTTTGTGATTAAAAAATCATCACGGGTTAGCGGGAATAGGGCGGTAGAAAACGGCATTGCTTACCCGCTGAAGGTCGAAATTCCGTTCCACCACCGAGACAGTCAGTGGCTCCAGGATTCGTTGATACTTTTCGATAATGGCAAATTGGTACTAGCAGACGTCAAGTAGTCAAACCAGCAATCAGCTTGTTTCTAAGCAGTTCTCAAAAGAAAGGGCTATCAACAACCTTCGTAAGCCAATGCTTGCTACTGGCACTTGCTGATAATTGGACTACTTCTCGGTGCATCAGCCTTTAATATACAATAAATGCAGAAGAGAAATCACCAACAATACACTGTTCGAGCAGCTCAAATCGGCAATTCCTAAGACTAGTTCAAACGGACTGGAGTGTCGCGATGGTTTGATATATTCCCTGAGATGCCGGAGTAGAAACAGCTTTTGGAAGAGAGAGGAAGAAAAATATCCGGGGGTATTGGTTCAGTTAATGGAAGTCATAATAGAGAAGGGCAAAAAGACTGACTGGAAAGGAGCTGAGAACTTGAGCACACAGGTGGGAAGCAGAGACTGGTAATATGAGTTATATAAGAAATCGGATGCTAAGCAAGAAATTGGATGCCGAGGGGATCTAGACCTGCTGGTGGAAAAAGCTCCCTTGGGCCTCCGCTAAACTCAGTAGGCTCGCACTGCAAGTGCTGGATAGCGGGAAAGTTTCAGGCTCCTGGTTTTGCAAGAGCCGGAAACTGCTGCTCTATAACGCTGACGATAGAGTTGATTCATCTAATTACCAAGCAAGACTACATCTGGACCCGAAAACTTCATCTGACCTTACCGTGGGGCTGCTCTAAAAACGAGTTAATTTAGGGATTTTCGACCGTAAAATCAGTGGTTTTCGTCGCTGGGAAAGAAAAACACTACGATTCGTTTTGACGATAAATTGGTTGCTTGTAAGCAGTTCTCGAAAGAGGGAGTCACTGTGTGGCTACAATTCATAAGCACAAACCCGCAAAAAAAGTGTAATTTGCAAGGTCCAGTCGAGCCGAATTTTAGTAGCTGCTCCCAAATTATAAACAAAAACTATTGGACTAATCTTCAGGCACAAATGGCGGTGGTGGCATATTGTGCTGAGGAGCAATCATTAGCTTATCATCTTTCATTTGATCAACGTACGACCAGCAAAGTGTTATTTGAAAATTATCGGGGGGTGGTTCGTACAATGGTCTGTGATATGGTGGCGCAGCTCGTATGCCCCATCTTTGGTGCATCGGATCCGATGAATCGTATATTATTCGATCGCTACCCCATAACTGAGGAGGTGGTACCATTTGCTGCTGTTGTTGCTGCATTGCAGCTGCCTGTTGGGCTACTTGCTGATATGAACCTAAAAAATAAAAAAAAATAAAAAAAATGAAAAAAAAATTAAGAATCAAAGTAGAATAAGCTTGAATTTTCTACAACGATCCAGAAGTGCATTAGTAGAAAATAACCTACCTTCTTGTTGGCCGCTTATAACCATTTGCGCAACATGTGCCATATGTTTCATCATTTCGGCGACATGTGTAGGATCCAGAGCTTCTACAAATAATCAAAACTGTACAAAAATCGAAAGAAAAAACTTGGAAATCTGATAATTGTTTTTCTTTTCGAAGAGAATCGAAGTGGATCTGAAGATTAATTTGGACAAATCTGTCTGCACGAAAGTTTTGGGGTTGAAATTACACGAATTTCGGGGCCAATACACTACGCAAGCAAGGCAATGATTTTAAAAAAGATTTCCGCTAAAAAGTCAAAAACTTTCTTCGTATTCGTTCTTAGTAAGAGGCCAGTGGTAGCAAATTCCAATAACAATCATCTGCTGGTAAAGCTGTCAAAGGTCCCCTCTTTAGATGGTTGCTTACAAGAAAACAATTGGTAGGTTTGATTCCCTGGTAAATGCTAATACCAATTTACCCTCGAAAATGAACGAACGAATCGTAGAGGGATTGGTTGTCCTACCAAGGAACCCGAATTTTCAACATGCAGCGCGATTGAGCAGTACCGCATTACCCCACCAAGCCTATCGGCAAAAGCTCAGCAATAAAACTCAGGCTGGAACGTACCAAAACTGCAGGTACGATAATGCGTTTTTGCACCAAACTTGAATTAGATTAATTGCATGAATGGTTGTTGCTTCACACCTACCTCGTACACTCACTACCGTAAAACATCGTAAATTTTGCATAAACGAAAATAAACAGTTTCCGTCTAGCGATTGTTCTTCAAGAATGACCTAGCTGTTCAACTAGCAATTTTCCCGCCAAAACTCCCAAGTGCTCGTATTTTTGAACCATGGAAACCCAGAGGCTGCATTTGAAATCTTTAGCTCAAGGGTGCATAGAGTATATTCCCGCAAAATTTCAGCTCGCAATCTTTTCTGGTTCCTGAGATCGCTTTTCCGCCAAAAAATTGCTTATTTTTTGAGGCCTTCGTAATTGGTACCCAGACGTATGCGGGTGATGATATTAAAATGAGGGTCGCACACAGCGTGGGCACATACTCCCGAAGTTCCAGTCTTCTAGCTTTTCTGTTCTCGAGTTGAAAGTGGGTGACAAAAAGTGCGAACACACAGACAGCCGCTTGCCGATATACTTTTTTGCAATTTGCATATATGCAAAAATGCATAAAAACTGGAAAAGATTTTTACCATCTATGCTTCTTGAATCCATTGTATGCATCGAAGCTGCTTCATGTGATGGAGCCAGCTGGCGCATCTGCTGCTCCTGCTGCATGGCAGACTGGTGGTGAGCGAGGTAGGACTGCTGATGCTGCGCATAAGCCATTGCTTGTGCTGCTGTTTCTGCTGTAATCACGAAAAGTAGAATTTTGGTGCCAATATTAAAATACTACGAAACAAAAGTGTTCGAGCACTAGGAAAGATAGAAAGCTGAAATTTTGCGAATAAAGACTTTGATAATTTTCCAAAAAACCCTTCAAAAATCTCTAATAACTTTGCAAAATTCCTCACAATTGCCAAAGTGAGAACCGAGTGATGAAGAATTTCCCGTCAGAGGAATTGGAAAAGTCGCCGTAAAAAAAAAAAAAAAAAAAAAAAAAAAAA